ATAAAATTGAATCATTGTCAACTTCAATATTTTCTGCATTTATTATGATGGTGCTTATTGGTCTAGTTGTTAGGATATTTGTTTCATTGTTAAGGTTTAAGCGATACTGAAGAATATAGTCTTTGATCTTCACTAAGTGAATATCAAAGGATATAATGTATAGATAGATAGGTAGATAGATAGATAGATAGATAGGAGCTCTAGTGCCTTAGTGCCTAAGGCATTTGACTGCTAACCAGAAGGCTGGAGGTTCAAAACCTACTAGCCACTCCTCAGAAGGAAGATTGGGCAGTCTATTTCTGTAGTGAAACTGCCTTGGAAACCCAAAGAGAAGTTGCTATGGATCAGATCCGACTTTACGGCAGTGAGTTTTTTTTTTTTTTTTTTTTTAATACACACACACACACACACACATATACATATATACTTTTTGAGAAATTGAAGATTTTTACCAACTCCTTCAGTCTGAAGCTGACCAAACATGAAATCAAGATGTATTGGTTACTACTAGTGAGTGAGTGGAATATGAAAGTTGAAAACAAAGAAGTCATCAAGCTGGAAAATGTGGCCTTGGTGTTTGATAGAAATGATGCCACAGATCACATAATAGAATTTTGCAAGGCACTGACTTACTTATTCATTGCAAATATCTTTTTTCAACAACATAAATGGTAGCTATACATGTGGACCTCAACAGATGGAATACACAGAAATCTGATAAACTACATCTGTGGAAAAAGGCAATAGAGAAACTCACTATCTTTAGTCAAAACAAGGTCAGGATCTGACCGTGGAACACACCATCAATTGCTCATATGCAAGTACAAAGTGAAGCTGAAGAAAATTAAAATAAGATCATGAAAGTCAAAATATAACCTTGAATATTGACTACCTGAATTTAGAGACCATCCAAAGAATACATGGAGCACCAATGAACAAAAGCCAGACAAGTTGTGGGATGACATCAAGAACATTATACATGGAGACAGCAGTTATTAAAAAGACAGAAAAGGAAGAAAAAAAAAAATGGATATCAGAAGAGACTTTTAAAGTTCCTCTTGAATGGAGAGTAGTTAAAACAAATAGGACAAATGATGAAATAAAAGAGCTGAGCAGGAGATTTCAAAGGGAAACTCAAGAAGACAAAGTAAAGTATTATAATGAAATCTGAAAAGACCTTGAATTAGAAAACCAAAAGTGAAAAACACACTTGGCATTTTTCAATCTGAGGGAAATAAAGAAAATATTCAACCTCTGAGTTACAATATTGATGGATTCTATCCACCAGCCACTCCTCGGAAGGAAGATGGGGCAATCTCTTCCATACTGATACTGCCTCGGAAACCCAAGGAGGGGTCACTGTGAGTTGGGTCCGACTCGATGGCACATAACAACAGCAAAACAACAACACTGGCAAAATATTGAGTGATGCAGGAAGCATCAAAAGAAGATGGAAGGGATACAGAGAGTCACTGTAACAAAAGTAATTGTTGATGTTCAACTACTTCAGGAGGTAGCATATAATCAAGAACCAATGTTATTGAATGAAGACATCCACACTTTACTGAAGGAATTGGCAGAAAACAAGGATCCAGTAATTGATGGTATACCCATTGAGGTGTTTAAATAAATGGATACAGTTCTGGAGGTGTTCAATAATTTATGTCAAGTAATGTGGAAGATAGCTACCTAGCCAACTGACTTGAAGAGATAGATATATATGCCCATTTCAAAGAAAGGTGAACCAAGAAAATGCAGAAATTATCAAAAAATATCATTAATATCACACACAAGTAAAATTTTGCTGAAGATAATTCAAAAACAGTTGCAACAGTACATTGATGGGGAACTTCCAGACATTCAGGCTGGATTCAGAAGAGGACATGAAACAAGGCATATTGTCGGTGATGTTTTGGCTGAAAGCAAATACCAGAAATATGTTTACTTATGTTTTATTGACTATGCAAAGGGATTCAGCTGTGTGGGTAAGAACAAATTATGGATAACATTGTGAAGAATGAGAATTACAGAATATTTAGTTGTACTCATGAGGAACCTGTACATAGACCATGAGGCTGTTGTTCAAACAGAACAAGGGGATATTTGTGGTTTCAAATCAGGAAGGGTGTGCATCAGGATTGTATTGTTTCACCACACTTATTCTGTTTGTATGTTGAGCAACTAATCTGAGAATCTGGTCTATATGAAAAAGAACACGGCATCAAGATGGGAGGAAGAATCATTAACCACCTGTGATATGTAGATGACTTTCTTGTTGAAAGTGAAGATGACTTGAAACACTTACTGATGAATATAAAAGACTACAAAAATTTTTACATGTATACATATATATTTATGTGTATGTAATATGTGCTTATATGTGTATATTTGTATATTTGTGTGTACATATGTATATATGTGTGTATATATATATACATACATATATATATATATACACACATATATATACATATATGTTTACTCATATATCTCTCATTGTACACCTTTTCTTTCATCATATACATGAGCACAGGGTAGCAGATATTAATTATATAAAAAAGGATATTTAATTAAATTGATTTTTATATTTTAAAATGAAAATGTTATAAAATTTGATCCTATTTTTAAATCATTCTAATACTCATATTAAGTTTTAAAAGTATTTTATGTTGTTTGGTTTTAGGACCAGATATATCTGTTGACTATATTATCACACTGGATACAGATATTACCCCAATATAGGACACATTAAGCAACAGCTCCAGTTACTAACACAGATTCTATAGTGACTCAGCAACTATTGCTTAAAATTTTAAGGTTGACACTTCCTCCTACTCTCCTTCTGTAAGTGCATTACTAGCCTTATGAAGGTTGCTTTTGGTGGGCCTCTGTTTAAAGAATGACTGCTAAGTTTGATCAATGCATGTTATTATTATATTGTTAGGTGCTGTTGAGTCAGTTCATACTCATAGAGACTATATGAATAATAGAACAGAATGCTAATCCAACCTGAACCTTCATTACAATTGTTTCTATGTTTAAGCCCATTGTTGTAGCCATTGTATTAATCCATGTCATTAATGATTATCCTCTGTTTTCACTGATACTTTACCAAGCATGAAATTCTTCTCCAGGTCCTGGTCCCTCCTGATACCATGTCCAAATTAAGTGAGAAAGAGTTTCTCAAGCCTCACTTCTAAGGAGCATTCTGGCTGTGCAAATTCAAGACAGTTTTCTTCATTCTTCTGGTTTTCAGTAGCAGTAGGTATGGATCAATAGATAGTGATCAGTAATTCCAAAGAACTATCATGATTATGAATATAAATTCTATTTGTAGTCAAATTATACTATATTAAAAACTATGTAGTTCTCAATTCAATACAGTTATTTTAATACTTTTGGCAGAATCCAACCTAAGTCATATACATGGAGAATTAAGAATTTTCACTTTTATTATACATGTAATATTTTTTAGGATGAATCAGATTAAAAAATAATAATAACAATTTATTATAAGAAGAGCTTCATATAAATACATTTTTTAAAAAATTGAGTATATGTCCTTTTTATAATGACTTTGTTTTCTACTTCAGTGACTTTTTTCTCTTATTTGAAAGAGAAAAAAAAAAAAAAAAGATGGAAGGAAGGAAGGCAGTGAGGGAGGGAAGGAGGAAAGGAAACCTAATCACCTTATTGGATATTTGGTTATCTTTAAATGAAATACTTTTGTTTGCTTAGTTGGGAACATGAACTTTAATAAAAAAATGTAGTTTTTTTTTTTTCTTTTTTATTTCTAACAGCTTGTTGTTAACAGCAGATCTCCATAAAGCTATAGCAAAGAGCAGAGACTTTTTCCAAAATTATAAAAGCAGTGTGTATTATGTAGAAGGCGCATAGAGTGTGCATCTCTCCAGTGCTTCCAAATTTCTATCCTTTCTATGTTTGCATTCCTGGGATAACTAAAATGATCCACATAGTTTGCCATTAATTAAGCACTTTTTATGACATTAAAATTTATAAGATTTTATATTTTATTTTTAAATCTCACATTATTTCCTGCTTAACATACTACTAAATGAAAAAAAAAAATCAATTGTACAATATAAATAGCTTTTTATATTGTTTTTTATGGGCCTTTCAGTTCAAAATTAAGATGGTAAGAAAGGTGTAGGGTATGGAAAACAATTATTTCTTACACAATATTTGGAGGGTCACCAAAATTTTGTTAAACTTTAATTTGATAATAAATTTATTTAGGTCAAATATATATCTCATTAAAATGAAGAACTCATGAGAATCACCGTTGTTCAGAACTGAATTAATAACATTTTTTGCATATTTGGTTAACATTGGCAGATAACAAAAAAATTAGTATCATTGGTCCAGAGCTAAGTAGCCCAATTCCCATTGCACCTAACGTAGGTCAATACAATTATCCTTTTACAATTCTTATGAATGTTATACAATAAAATAAACAAATGTAGAGTGTCAGTGTCAATTCATGGGATGAAAATACAGGAGAAATTTACATCAGCAAATTAAAATGCTTTCATTTTTGATGAGAGTTTTTGTATGACAGTGTCCTTGCTGCAATATGGTTTCATGCCCCCTTTATACTACTCATAGTACAATGATAGGACATTAGTTCATGATCTGGACCAACATAATTGGCACACAAAATAATCTAAAAGAGACAGAAATAACCATCTAATTGGCATTTTATAGGTAGGTTACAATTTTTATGTTATTTACACATGTGTTTGAGTCACTCTTTTTTTCTCACTTCTGATTAAAGCAATATACTGACACAAATCTTGAATGAGAACAAAGACATTCTATTCATCTAGGATTATTCACAGATGTCTTCCAGAATAGAGATGTTTTTGAGATCCCATATTATCTTCTGTTTCTCTGCCAAAATTTTGATTTGACTCCACTGTTGACTTGGTGATGTCCCAGATTCACCAGTCTAGAGTGATTAATACAAATTTGCTGTTTATACAGTCATTCTAAGTGACAATGAAGAACTCTGTGTGTCAAGTTGAATGCTTTCCTTTGCTTGTTGTAGCAGAGCTGGTTGCAGCTGAAGCAGTAGCCTGAATGCCTAAAAACAGGGGGTCCAAACAAGCTACTTTGGCAGCAAAGAACGAATGGATGCAGTGAAGAACAGCAAATAAATTTGAAAATTCCAACTCCTAAAAGGGAAAGAGAAATAGGTTCCATGAATTCTATTTCTTAAAACTACAGGTAATAATTAGATATTTTTTCAAGGGCAGGACACTTTTATCTAGAATTACTGATGTGTAATGTATAGCCACTATAAGCCATTTGTGTTCAATAAGTAAATTTTACATATATTGCAGATTGACATAAAAAATAGTGGGTTAAGGGATAAGATGACAAAGTATTCTTCTAATCCATGAAAGTTGTTTCAGTATTGGTAATTGCTGCACAGAAATGTATTTGGACTGATTAGAATTTTAATCTTGATGCTACATAAGTAAAGAGAAAAACTGGGAACATTTTTTTTTAAAGTATTTTTACCTCTTTATTCACATCTTAAATGATAAATAAAGATTATAATAATTGAAATATATTACTTGATATCCTCTAGAATAAGTTATTATTTACCATGGAAAAGTTACTATGAAACACTTAAAGCATTAGTTATGGATGTCATGATAGTAGAGGCCACATGGTCCAGTTCCAAAAATAAGGTATGCATTGATTTAATCCTTGTACTTGGCTGCTCAAGGGTGTGTGTTTCTGTGTGTTATATTTACTAAAATAAAATAAAAATCAACTGAAGCCCACTGATTCATTTTCATTTTGGATTTTTAGAAATATTTTTCCCACTAGGATACTTAAGGAAATTAGTACTAGTGGCAACCAACTGATGTAAAGGGGTATGGGAAAAAACAAGCAAACAACAACAACAACAACAAAAAAAAATTTCTTTCAAACGAGAAATATGTCAGTAGTGCTCTGATAAATTTTAAAAGAAAATTTTACAAATACTTTTGAAACATTATCAATATTTACACTAATATTTACACTAAAATATTTAATTGTAAGAGTAATTAGAGAGTACTAATACAACATTTTTGAACACCTAAGGAAAAACCTTGTCTGTCAGTTTCTCCCACTGTGGTGGCATATTGCCATGAGGTTTGAGGCTGTGCCACTGGAATCTTAAACCCAATAGGATTGCACATGATGCACATATTTCAACAGCTTTCAGACTGAGACAGAATAAGAAGAGGGAGAATGCCATCCACTTCTCAAAGAATTGGCCAGGGAAAACCTTATGAACACTAGAGAACCACTGTCTGATACATTAGTGTGCAACTTTGTCAATAGCCTGGAAACATTGTCTGACATAGTGCAAAAGGGTAAGCTACTTAGGTCAGAAGGCTCTCAAAATAGGACCAGGAAAGAACTGCATCATAAGAGTAGAACCAGCTTTAATGATAAGGATAAGGTAAAGCTTTTGAGACCTCCATTTGCTGACATGGTGCAACTCAAATTGAGGAGAAACAGCTGCAAACATCCATTAATAATCGGAACATGTAATGTACAAAGCATGAATCTAGGAAAATCGGAAGTTGTCAAAAATGAAATGGAGAGTTCCAGTAAGATGGTGGACTAGGCAGAAAGATTGCACAAACCCTCTTCAACAAAGAAAAGGGAAACCAATTAACACAGACACAGAAGATAATCCTGGACCCATGAATCTTGAAGGGAAGGATATAGAAGTGGACTAAACCCCAAATAGCAGAAGAATTTTCATGAAAATACCAAAAAAGGAGACAGACGGAGCTGCAGTCTGGCAGCGATCCTGAGCGATTCTGACATCAAGGCACAGACAGCTTGGAGATTCCCGAGTGGTGGTAGGACCTAAGAATTAACCTAAAAATCACCCTGCTAGCCAGGGACTGCATAGAGGACTGTGCATGGTGGCTAGGGAACAAATGGAGAAGGTGAAGAGAAAGGTGGGCTGAGCTGTGGACTTTTGCTGATCCTGAAGTCATCGCCATTTTGAAGGTTTAAAAAGCAGCTTGACTATTTTGGATATTTAAGGAGACAGCACTCTCACAGATTCCTGGGGCTTAAGAACACGTTATGCTTTCCAGTAACCACAGGATACTCGGGACCTACGAGACTGAAAAGGCACGACATTCCTCTTGTTACTCTTATACCCCACACCCACTTGGTGAACAGAGCTGTGGCTGTCCCCCACTCCCACCTACCTTCTGAGCCCACAGGAACTCCATCACAGTCTGTGTGTTCAGACGGGGCTTGGGTGCCCTATCCTGTCCTCCACCGATTTTTTTTTTTT